CCTCTTTCTCAAGTACAAAGTGTCAGCTCTCTTCCTGAACTACGAGGCAAATCAGAAGGGTCAGAGAAGAATCAGCCCTTTGGGAATACCTTCCTTTCTTTTCATCCATAATCATCCTTGCGTTATTTGGGTCCCAGATACCTCAATGTGGGGACATATCAAAGTAGATGTATGTAGAAGGCCAGCAGACTGAGGAGCCATCTGTTATGGGCAAAAGGCAAAGACTCGTGGGTTGTGTACATCCATCCACCCATGTCTGCAGAATCATAAAGAACAGTGAAAGGAAGATGCCAGTCCAACACAAGGCACGTGAGCTCTTGGGCCCAGGTCCTCCCTGACAGCCTCACTATGTCTTGTTAATTTCCCCTCCTCCCTTCCTCCAAGCATTTGGTGTAACCAGGAAGATGCCAGAAGAATCCAAAACAAATTTTTTTTTTTTGGCAGTTTAATCAGTACAAATTATTATCAGATCACTTCATCCCAAACAGGATTTGACTAGCTTTAAGAGATGTATATAGAATCATAGGAAAATTTTTAAAAAAAGAAGTGAAAACAAAGTCGGATAAACTGAGGCCAGAGATTGATGCACAAATTGCAAACCATGAAGAGCCTGTTGTTTTTAAGAATTGGACCTTAAATCTCTGAGCCTCCTGGTGGCCAAAATTTAGTCCATTTTTAATTCGATAGCCACTAAGAGGAAAGCGAAATTAATCACAAATATCTAGTTTTCCTAAGATATCAGTTGTTCAAGAAAGGTTCCTGAGATAACACCTGTGTTTTCTCTTTCTCCCAGGATGCCCCAGAGGGATTTAGGGTGACCTATAGCCCAGCTAGCCTCACCTCCTCCATCGATTTCTGGGAACCTTCAGGAGTGGGGTTGGGTCGGAGACCTCACATGTGGTCATGAACAAGGTCTTTCCTTCTAGGCGCTGTCTATACAGGCATCCCTCTGCCCTGGCCCCCAGGTGAGATTTGCAGAGAGGGTTTCAAAGAAGCTTCTCACCACCATCTCCAGGGCACCCCCTTGACCCACCTCCTGCTGGTCTCCACTGCCTCTAAGTACACAGGAGCTACTCTGTAGTCTATGAATTCCCCAAAACCCTGAAGCTAAGCTGTGTTCTATGGGAGAAGAGGGAGAAGAGCCCTTTTCCCCTTTGTGTCACGTTTGTCACCTGGCACCAAAGGAGGGCTCCTTGAGCCCCAGTGACGCTCAAGAGAGTTCTGTGACAATGGCTCTGTGAGCCCCTGCCTGTGGCGCCTCTCCTTGGGCTCAGATGAGCCTGCAATACTGATCCAGAACCAGCCTTAGAGATAGGCTCCTCTTCTTATTCTTCCTTCCCACAGCCCTCACCCTCTGTGTGGCACAGTTATGGGGTATTTTCCTACAATAAAAATGTGAAAAATAAATGTGACTTTAGGAATGAGTATTATGTAATGGGAGACAATCATCTTCGCTTACACAGAGAATCACTAACTGTGCCCTGATTTAAAAATTTATGTCTATGTGGATTCCTATTCCATTGTACAGTGAGTCTAGGCAAAATCTCTAATTGGATTTTGCCCTTAACTGATGCTCTTGGTTTAAGTGGCTTAGAAGAAAGCTCTCAGCCTTGAGAAGTGGGAGAAGTAACCGCGCACTGAAAAGAGGGGCCTCTTAAGCTCTCTGCCTCTTCTTCTGAGCAGCACAGGGTGGGGTCTGGGGTACAGGTTCCTTCTGTGGTTCCTGACAGGGACCAGAGATGCAACAGAGGGAAATAAGTTGTCGTTCAGCTGCAACGTAGGGTGACTGAAGTAACAGTGAGGTGAGAAGAATGCGACTTTAACCCCCTAAAATGTGCATTTGGAGGCAATTCCAGATTGACCTAAAATAGGAGGGGGAAATGGTGCTACAGGTATGTTAGTGCTAATAATGTTGGGAGTGTGAAAACAGCCAGGAGAAAGCAGTGCGGAAGACTAAAATGTGTGACCCCAGCCCCCAAGGCCCAGCTTGAACCCCACCTCTCCTGCAAAGCCTTCCCTGACACCCCACTATATGTAGCTCCAGTAGTGGACTGTGGCAGGGACTTAACACGGGTGTTTGCTACTAAGAGGACGAGGGCTAAGGAACATCCAAATGGAGGGTGGGATCAAAATTGAGGTAATGGGATGTTTCACATGACTAATTCTGACTTAGGTACGGCTCCATTCAGATAAAGCCTTCCCAGGCAGCTGGGTAACTGCAGCTCAACTGGAAAACACCGTTAGTCATGTAAGGCTCTCAGGCTGTGTGAAGGAGTATTTGTGAGGCACTGAGTATGTATGTAAATGCACATGCTAAATGGGTGGCCAAAGGCCAAAGACAGCAGCAGGTGGATACGGTAGCTGGAGGGGCCCAGGAGTCATCCAAGCATGGCTGGCTGCCAGTTGGGCTCCTAAGAGGAGAGCCCAGGGCAGGAGATGGATCTGGAAGTCATCTGCATCTATACAGTGGTAAAAACATAAATGAAATGGAGTGAACAGAGTGATGAAGAAGCAGGCCTAGGAGAGTCTGGAGCACAAAGATACAGGGCAGCCTGGGTAACGTGAGACCACTTGTGATGCCCACGCTGCCTTCCTTACTTCAGAACTTCTGCACCCCTGTCTCCCAATGATGTTACTCTTCTCCACGAAGTGACTAAATATAAACTCTCTTCTGCAGCCTGAAGGTGGAGAGCTATTCCCACTGGGGACCCCGGAACAGGCAGAGAGAACCCAGGGGACTCAGGGGTCCTGACTGCTATGCATTTCAGCATGGCAAGACCCCAGTAGCTTCAGGAAGGGGGCTATGGGGAACAATAAGGCTGAGGCAGCCATAACCCTGAGTTCAGCAGCTGAGGCCAAGGGCTAAGAAAAAACTGGACCCCACCTTTCCCTGCCTCTCCCTTCGAGTCTACTGGCTGAGGAGTCTGTGGAATGAGAGTCCTTTTGGTGCCTTTTAGTCACCTTAGAGGAGCCAATGCCCTTCTGGGGGCGAAAGGTACAGAAATAAAATAAGGGGATGATGATCCCACGTAACACCCTCCCACAGTGGCATTCAGTGCTTTGGTGTCCCATGACCAGGATCCGGCCTGTGGCCACGCAGACTAAGAAACTGTCTGCCCATTCTGCACAAGGAATCTATTCCCAAAGAACTGTTACATGGTAATGAAGCTCAGGATGTATAAAACCAATGTCAGTTTATTCAAGCAGCAGAGACCTGCTGGAGGATGTCTGAGCACCCTGGCAAAGTGATGGGTAGGGCTCCAAACACGAAAGCCACCTGAAAGAGACTTCTTCCAAAGGTAGACTCATGTAAACAGAGAGGGCGGGTCCACCTGGGCCAAGTTTTCTCTCCTGGCCCACGCTGCCCTCTTTCATGGCTGCACCTACAGTTGAGTTAAGAGAGAGGAGAGATAGGTAATAAACGTCAAAACTGACCTCTGGAAACATGAGACACAACCACACTTCCAAGAGCAGGGCAAGAGGTGACACTCGAGGTAAAGAAGCTACCATCTCAATTCTATGCAGAGCTCAGCATGGCTTCCACAGTGAAGGTTCCAGAAGATGCAGGACTACACTGAGAATTCAGGTGTCGTCAGTGACAGAGGCAGTGTCCAAAAGATAGAAGTGAGTGGAAGGAGGTGGGAGTGGACAGTGGTCTAGATCTCCTTTGAGAGGGCTCTTCCTCTATACTTGGTGCTTTTCAAATTCTGTCCTACGCCCAATACTTCTGACTTGAACATACTTTCTTTCTCATGAATTTGATTACCATGCATACACAGATAACTCTCTAGTCCTATCTTCTCCCCCTAGCTTCTGGCCCAGACATCCAAATGCCTTTTGCATATTCACACTCAGATGTCCCTAAGACACGTCAAGTACAAAATGTCCCACCCAACCCAAACTTACAACCTTCTGCCCTCTTGCCCCAACTGCATCTCCTCGTGTTCCCTACTGTGAACAATGACACACTCTACCCTGTCACCCAAGTTCTTCTATCTTTCCTCTGCTGTCTTCAATTCAGCCTCTGAAACCTCTCAAATCCATCCCCTTCTTTTCAGTGTAACCACTGCTTTAGTTCGGACCTTCCCTTTTAAATGGAATATCACAATAGTGTCCCAAGAAATCGTCCTAACTGCAGCATATCCAAGTTCCATTCAGCAGATTTTGACAAATCACCTCTGACCATGTCACCCTCGGCCTGGTGTCCAAGCTCCACTGAGACATGAGGTCCTCCATGACCCTGCCTCAGCACCCCTCCAATCTCAGCTCCCGCTACTCCCTTCCTCCCATTTTATACCCCAACAGTGCTAGGAAGCTAAGGTCCTCAGCCCCACCTTGAGTCCATACTACTTCACAACACTGTGCTTCCCCTGAAACCCTTATACCCTTTTATGGGATCCTTCCTCTCAGCTCACACGGTTCCCTGTTTCATCTAATTACTGCAGTTACCAGCAACCCACTGGTCCTAGTCCAAGGCTCACCCACGACCCCTGCCCCTCAGAGATAATGTGAGCCAAAAAAGGTAAGCTGGGAAGAAGTCGAGAGGCAGTGATCCCAGGTGAGCTGGTTCTTGGGTAGCATAGGAAGATGTTAAGGAGCTCCACTGAAAGGGAGTGCAAATTTCCTCTCCACTGACTTCTCATGAGACCAGAAAGAGAGCTCTGTTCTTAAAGGTTCCATCACATTCACTGATAGGTACTTCCCAAGTCCACGAAATAACCAGGGTATGAATGTCATCTCAATGTCATAGGCAGATTCAGAAGAGGGATGTTTCTTTAAAATCCTATGGAAACCAAAGTCCCCAGTCAACATTTTTAGACCCTCCTAAGGAGAAACTCTGGACACCAAAATGCTGAAAATAAGAAAAGCATTCTGTGTGAACCTTTAGTCTGTGTGGGAGGCTGGTCTTAATGGCCAACATTTAGAGAGCATGGGGTAAGCCTGGGACAAGATGGCTTAGGATAAAACTGTGCCATGAACTTGGAAGGTAGAACCGTATTCAAGATCCTCTCAGTAACGTCCCACACACAAACCAACTCCTTCCATCTCCCTTCCACCTCAGTCTTGGCATGGGGATCAGAAACAAAGCTTCTGCCGTGCCAAGAGGGCAAGAGCCAGGGAGGCAAAAACACAGGGATGAGTGAACACTGGGGAGGAAGCCCATGTTTCTGTAGGGTTTAATTTACTTACAATCCAGCCAAGGGTCACAAGAAGCAGAGCTGACTCCCTGAGAAAAGGGAAATTCTTAGACTCCCTTTCCTTAACCAAAGCAGTAGCTCATTGGAAGAAACATTTTGGCTATATATTTTTCCCTATCTGCACCTACCTAGATCTCTCACACATATTATCATAACGATGGAAATTCACATCAAGTGCTTTGGTAATTGCTCATCCTTGCTCAAAGGACACTGTGAGCTCAGAATATCTCAAGACTTTTAATCTTTAGGTATTCTAGGTTTCCATATTTCTTAAAAGGAGAATTTATAAAGGAATTTTAACAGGAAATTTGGTCTACAAAGTGTTTTGAGTTACCTACCCTAATGTGAAAAGGGATTCAGTATGGCAGTAAGAGCACCTCAGGCTCTGGAGAGACAGATCTGGTTGAATCTTGCCTCTGCCATTTTCAGATGTGTGACCCAAGCGAGTTACTTAAGCTTCCCAAGCCTCGCTTCTCTTCTGGGAAATGGGAAGAATATTAGTACCTACCTCCTGAGGCTGCTGTGAGGATTAAATGAGATGATGTGTAAACACTGCTTAGCACAGAGCCTACCGAAGAGTAAATGTTCAATACTGGCTATTTTTGCTATTATTAACAATAACAGTTTAGTAAAACGTCATTTATTCCTACTTTTTGCTGAGCTCACAGTGGCCTGCTCTAAGCCACTAATTCTCAGTTATGCCATTCTCTCACCAGTGTTTCAAAGTTCTCCTGTGAAGATACGCCTCAACTGGAAACTGCCATGTGGGAGAATTTGCAATGTATGCCAATGGGGTGCGTGTACGTGTGGACAGTGTGAAGGCAGAGCAAGGTTTGAAATCACTCACTACTCAGGACCACTGATTTGCCTCTAATACCCTAAATTGCCAGATTGGCTCAAACACTAATAAAGCCCTTAAATGACAGCAAATGTAAGGATAGCCTGAGGACTGAAAGTGTTTTTTACAGGAGAAAAACAAATTACACTTAAGAAAAGTGCCTTCAAGTCTGGATCCTTAGCATTTGTAATTCACTTCCAAATGACCTGGATTATATCAAGATAACTTCCCTGGGTATACACCAAACTTAAAAACTGGGAATGTTTCTACCACACATCTTATGATCTTGGGAAATTTAAATACACGTTTATCTCTTTTGTTACGGAGGGAGTTGTCTCCTATGATGTTTTTCCTCCTGCATGCGTTCTCCGGTGGGCACTGAAGTGGGAGCTATTGTTGAAGTCTTTGCCGCACTCCAAGCACTTGTAGGGTTTCTCCCCAGTGTGGATTCTCTGGTGAATAATGAGGCTGGAGCTCTGGTTAAAGCATTTCCCACATTCTCTGCACTTATAAGGCTTCTCTCCCGTGTGAATCCTCTGGTGAGTAATGAGGTTAGAACGGTCACGGAAGAATTTTCCACACTCAAGGCATTTGTAGGGCTTCTCTCCTGTGTGCACTCTCTGATGTGTGATGAGCTTGGAGCGCTCGCTGAAGCATTTTCCACAGTCTGTACACTTATATGGCTTTTCCCCAGTGTGGGTTCGCTGGTGGTTAGCCAGTGTGGAGCTCTTACTGAAGCTTTTCCCACATTCAGCACATTCATATGGTTTCTCTCCCGTATGGATTCTTTGGTGACTAATGAGGGCAGAGCTCTTAGAAAAGGTCCTTCCACATTCAGAACACTGATAGAGTTTCTCCCCTGAGTTGGTACTATGTGGTCCAGATGAATTCAAGTTCTTACTGGCACTTTGAGGTTGTTCAGGAGATGTCGCCTCTGTCAGGCTCCTCCAGTGAGCACTGAAGGATGGGCTTTGGCCAAAGTTTTCCCCAGGCTCACTACAGTGGTCAGGATTTTCTCCTAAGTGGATCCTCTGATGTTTCAGAAGGTTTGAGCTCTGGTTGAAGCTTTTCCAACATTCCCCACATTTATACGGCTTTTCCCCTGTGTGGATTCTCTGGTGGGTGACAAGATTTGAGTGGTCGCTAAAGCTTTTCTCACATTCGAGGCATCTGTAGGGCTTCTCTCCAGAGTGAATTCTCTGGTGGGTATTGAGGTTGGAGCGGTCGCTAAAGTTTTTCCCACATTTGAGACATTTGTAGGGCCTCTCGCCTGTGTGTGTCCGCTGGTGGGCAATGAAGTGAGAGCTCCGACTGAAGCTTTTCACACATGTGTCACACTTGTAGGGTTTCCCTGCAAGGTACAGGCCTTGATGGTCAATAAGTTTTTCTAAATCCTCTTCAGAAGAATATTCTTCCCACTGCTCCTGTGACGGATTTTCCCACTGTCCTTTGCCTTCATTTTCATTTTCACTGTCTTCTCCCCAGTCATGAGGGTGGCAAACAATTTCTGTAGTACATTTCGATAAAGCTCCAGGCAAATCCTCAAAAATATCCTGCTCTGAACTCTGGTCTTCATCCTCATGCCTCATCTCAAAACCTGGAAGAATGGACAGAAATGATTTTTGTTCATTAGTGTCTATTTATATGTCTGTATTTTGTGTCTCGTGAATTTGGCTAACATGAATTTGTATCTTGTATCTCACATCTTATAAATGTGGCTAACATGAAATTGATCAAGTTTTGGAGTATACACGCATTTCTGACCTGCAAAGCTGAGGAAGAGTTTGGGAGCCATGAGCCCTAGCCAAACAGACAGGCGGTGAGTCTCCCCAACCAACTCCCCTATCCCACTTTTTGATAATAAACACCTCCTTCTTCAAATACAATCAGTATATCTTACATCATATGAAACTGGATAAACTGTGTAATTGCCCAAATGAATCCCAGTAAAATCTAGACCTGATTGCTTATCTCATTTGGGGGATTACACTAAGCTAGAGACTGGATAATCTAAGCAAAGCACAAATCCTTTTCCTATCTGATTCCATTCTCCATTGTAGTTCTAAGACAAGTTAATGAGCCTGACTCCCTCACTCTGTCCGAGTGCTTGCAGATTTTATGGACATCCAGTTACTACAGGCTTACCAGTGTCTGGAGTTTTAGGACATGGAGTTGGAGGTTTGATGGAATCTTCATCTGCCATCTCATCCCAGGCCTCCTGGTCATCAGCTTCAGTACTGCTCTGCCCAGACATAGGGAGACCTGCTGCCTCCCTGATGGTCCCCATGGCTCTGACCGCAGTCCGAGCCCTAACCAGTGAGTCCAGCTCCTCGTAGAAGGGGCATGTTCCTGGTGGGTGGCTGCTCTTGGCTTTTCGGTAGCTTCGAAGAAGGTTTTTGAATCTGTAGCGACACTGCTCCAGTGTCCGCAAGAAGCCCTGTGCACACAGCCGCTCTGCAATGGCCCGGTACACCTGACTGTTCTGGTGACAGGTGCGAAGCTTTTCAGAGAATGAGGACTCACTGAGAATGGTCAGGAAGGCCTTGGTCTCCTCATAGCCCCAGTGCACACCTGCTGTCAGGAGTAAAGAGTTCAGAATTGTGACTTAAATGAAACTTGCTTAGGTCATCAGGTATCAGGGTCACCTGCTAAATGCCTAGAACACAAGGACCTCAGAAATTGTCCAGGTGCCTGAGGCACCAACAAAGAATATACCCTTGCTTCTCAGGGCTATGCCAGAGCTTCCCACCCCCACCCCCTTCTAAGAGAGTCTATTAACACGTAAGAGTCTTGGCTGAAGGGGAGGACTTAGGTGGCCATATTATATAGCAGGTGACCCCACTCCCCTGGCTTCAGCTGTCTGGTTCAGGGAAAGGCCTATAAGTGGATTACCAAGAGACTCTATGTATCCATTCAATACATATACTCTTACTTTTATGAATTTTCCTTTTAACAAAGATGGGAACTAAGACTCCCTAAAGACATAAATGGACTTCAAATAATCTTGCAATAGAGTCCAATTGAGGATGCCCTTGTGCGAAAGGAAAAGGAAGTGGTCTGTTATCAGTTCCTCTGCAGGTTAATGATGCAGCCAGGGAAGCAGAGTGCTGGAGGGAACACCACATAAGAGGCTGGAACCCTGGGCTCTGATCCTGACTCTGCCCTTGCTTCACTGTGAATTTTGAAATAAGACGCTTTGTCTCTTAGGCTTCAGTGTTTCCACTTTTACAATGTTTGAGTGTTTCTCCAACATTGATCATTCAGACTTTATACTGTCATGATTTCTGCTCTATCTGTTAAATATTTCGCTATCTTTCTTTACCTAAATTTACTATCTGTGAAATCACACACATTAAAAGTTCACTCACACAACGCAACATCTGTCATATCCTCACTCAACCAGTGACACACTTTGGGGAATGCCCAATTAGCTCTTTAAGATCCCTTAGGATTTTAAAAGTGTTTGTTTCTATAACTAAGAAAACTTATACAAGGAAAACTGATCATAAAAGAAAAGAGCAGGGGTTTAAGGATGACCTAAGGAACTGAGCGCTTGATCCAGGAGCACTGATCCAGACTTCTGTGCCCTGAACTCAGGAGACAGAGGTCTGGCGAGCAGGCGGGCTGGAATCTGGATCTGACAAAAGCCCTGTGTTCTTACCAACACGACTGTGGAACAGAGCCGGGGCCCCTGGAATCCTAGGCCCCTGGGCGGACTCGTCAGTGGCCAGCTCATCACCATTACAGTCTTCTGCTGTTTCCTCGGGCCCCCAGCCCCCTTCCTCCTGCTCCTCCACCTCTGCGTCACTATCCCCCAGCCTGGGGACTGCCACAGCCTCTCCTGAACCCTCTGTGGCTCTGATGGCTGTCCGAGCCCTCACCAGGGCCTCCAGCGCCTCGTAGAAAGGACAGGTTCCCGGTGGGTGGCTGCTCGTGGCCTTCCGGTAATTTCGTAGGAGGTTTTTGACCCTGTAGCGACATTGCTCCAGTGTCCGCAGGAAGCCCCGTGCCCTCAGCCGCTCTGCTATGGCCCGGTACACCTGGCGGTTCTGGTGACAAGTCCGGAGCTTTTCAGAGAAAGGAGACTCACTCAAAATTGCCAGGAAAGTCTTGGTCTCCTCATAGCTCCAGTGCACACCTGACAC